CTTTTTCCCCCCCCCCCCCCCCCCCCCCTTGTTTTCCTTCTAGAAAATATGATACCTGATCGCCGGGTCTAGCAGGCTGAGGATTTTTTTTTTGTATTTGTATAATACAATGTCTGGCCTTCCCCCTGACCTGCTGGTGTATTTTTGGTCTCATTAGTAGTCAGGGAGATGCCTTAGTGCATCCGGTGCTGCAAGTCAGGGATGAGACACACTCTACCACAGAGAGAGGGAGCAAGCGCGAGAGGATATTAGAAGAGAGGCTTGTCTCCAAGATATGGAAGGAAGTGAGAAATGACAGGGCTGCAAGCTTTGTATGTAGGAGCCTGGCAGGGTGGGGGAGCCGCAAGGGGAGCCAAGTGGATTCTCAGAAAAGGGGGGAAGCCATAGAAGAGCTAAAGGTGATTAGAAGGGGATATCGATTCCTTATTCTGCCAGAGACTTAAGCAGGCATGCGAGGAATCTGCACCATGGTTGGCAAAAGGAGACCGTTGCCTCCTGTAACCAGACACTCGGGCTTTCCAGGAGCCTAGGGAGAGAGCCGAGAAGAAAGGGGGCAGTGTGGTCTAGGAAAATTCAACTCGTCGCTGATTTGTGCCTGGTGCTCGCTGTCCGTCAGCAGCCTCCCTTACAATCTTTTTTCCTCTCTCTCCCTTTTTTCCCCCCTTGCCTTCTTCTTCACTGAAGCCTAGGGGAGCCAGTAAAGATTAAATGTGCTTTCTCAAAGGCAGCCACTTCATGCTGCTATGTCGAAAGGGCCATTATTATTATTATTTCTAATAGTAAAAGGGAAAGGGAGAAAGGTTGAGAGAGAGAGAGAGAAGCTAGGTATGATGATGACGGACTAGCCTTTCTGAGAGGAAAAGGAAAGGGGAAGGGAGAGAAAAAGGAGAGACCCTGAGCTGAACGAAGGATTGTGCCTGAGAAGAACCTATGGAGGTGAGAAAAAAAGTTGTCTTGAAGGTCGTGGGGGGTGGGGGGTGGGGAGGGTGCCAAACAGACCCAGAACAGAGGGAGAAGAAACATAATTTAGCTGTCTTGCTGGCATGATTCTATTTTTAAAGGGGGGAAGGGAAGAGCCTGGGGCTCTAACTGTTTTGAGTTGCATATGGAAATATATAAAAAAAATATTTAGCATTTTTCCTGAGTGCTTGAGGCCCCCTCCAGTGTCTTCCTGGCTGCTTTGTCATGCTCTGACTAGCCAGCCATTTACCTTGCTCAGGCTTGGAATAAAAGAAGAAAAAGAAAAGAAAAGAGAGAAAGAAAGGAGAGAAGAAAAATTGCAAAAAAGCGTCATCTTCCCATTCCCTGGCCCTCCCTTTCGTTTCATTTTTGGAGGCGTCGCAGGAAAGCTCAGCTTTCAGTCCGATGGGGAGAAGCGACTATCAGGTACAGAACCAGTGGCTGTCTGCGAAGATGGAGGGGAATTCGGCTTCGGATTCCTCTGAAATCGCGGCCAAAGGCTTCAGAGGATCCGCAGCGGGAGGTGAGGGGAGAATGCGTCTCCCCAGCGCCCACCCACCCCTTCCCACTTCGCGACTCCCAAATGACAGCCTGCTGCTATCTCCTGGTGATTTGGCCTTGGCTGCAGCCAAGCAGCTGATGCAGAGAAGGGCTTCGTTTGCAGGACTGGCCAAGTGCACACTAAAGAAAGAAGGAAGAAATTTTTAAAAAGCAGCTCTGAGGAGGTTTCTTACTTTTTTTTCTTTAAAAAAAAAAAATTAAGTGACTATTTTCCAAATTTGATTAGTTCCCAGCCCCTCCCTCCACTCCCACCCAACTGCCCTTTTTTTTTTTTTCTCTCGTCAAAGCATAAACGACAGAGTTACAGTCTCTAGATCTGGTGTATCGCTTCCTGCCCCCGCCTCCCCTCCCCGCCCCGGTTCTGCGTCCTCTGTTGAAACACCTCGCCCAGCCCCGCGCCCTGCGAGCTCGCAGTGCCCCCCCTCGCTCGGATGCTGCTCCGGGAGGCCGTGCGGCCCGGCTCCACGTCCAACGGGTGAGTTCCAAACGCTCTTCGTATTTACGCGTTCACAGCCTCCAGATCCTACCTCTCGGTTTTCTCCTCCTCAAAACTTGATTTCTATGATTTTGCATGCGGCATGCTTGCCCTGGGGGAAAGAGATGCCTCATATTTTCTTTTCAGTCATTTGTGCTCCTCGTGAATTAAAAGCTTGGAAGAGACATTCAATCCTTCTTGTAGACCATGGTTTGAAAAACGTGGGCATTTCTGGGTCTATTGATGTTATTTTCCATTTTAGTCAATTATTCTGATCAGAGCTTGAAAAGAGTTTTCTCTGATATATTCGCGATTGTATGGTCAGGTATGTATATGCGCCCCCAGATGTTGCGTATGCGTGTGTGTGTGTGTCTCATACTGAAATGGAATCTAAATTTGGGGAACGAAGGGAGCTTAGAGAGTGAGGAAATAGCGTTCCACCTGTTTGTTGCGTTTCAGTCACGAACCTCGAACAGATATTGCCTGTCATTCTTGTTTTGCTTTGTTTTGTCTCGAGAAAGAGAAAATCGTTGCGCTCCTCTCAGTCCCTGAGACCCTAACTTGTGATGTTTACCGTTTAAATCCACGGGTTAGGCTCTTGGGAGCTGCGAGTCGTGCCTTTGCATCCTGGAAATTTGGTGAAACTTTTTTTCTTTAAAGTAAAAACAAAGGAAGAGAAAGTTTGTCTGAAGTGATTGAGTAGACCCTGAGGTTTTCATTGTTAGGTGGGATCAGGTGACCAGAGAGTGGCAGCTCCTGGGTTTCTGTTAAAATAGGTATATATGCTGTTATAACAGCGCCTTGGCTGCTATGTATATGTCTGCATATTATTGATGCCTGAGGCTTGTGGAACTCATCTACACGGTCTATTCCTTGAGAGCAACACGCAGTACTATCCGAGCGTAACAAGAACAGCTCAGTACCTGGTGCTTGACCTCAGTACATCTCAGCTGAAGTCCCAGCATGCCCCATGCCTCCAACTTTTAAACTCAACAGTTAATCTTAAAATTGTGCACAATTAAAATGGGCAGGGGAATATATCATATCATATATTCAGTGTCCACACATGTGTATCATATATGGCTAGGAACACACAAACATATAGGGGCCAACAAATAGTTTGGGCTAAAATATTAATAGGTTGAATATTCTACTCTTGCTATGCTACACAAAGGAAGGAATTTATAGTATTATGAAGACTAAATTTGTATTACTTTGCAAGATTTTTTAAAAAGAAAATAAAAGGAGGGATATCACTTCCTTGTTTGGTATTTTTTAAAAATGTTATATTCGAATTTAAAAGTAAGAGGGATTGGAAATATATTTTCTAAACATATAAAATAAAAGAAATAATAACAGCACACACACACAATTATTGTATTCTTTAGGAATAATCAATGCTTATTATTCTTCATTTAAAAACTGGAAAAAAAATTAAATTCAATCAAACAAAGTTATCCGTAACACCAAACCGTACATCTAAAATTATCCTCGCTGAAGGTAATTATTAGCATTACCTAGTTTGTCGTCTTCTGGAGCTTTAACTTTTTATAACAGAATAATTTTAGTAATTTAGGTCTGTCTCATAGTTGGGGAAGAAAAACAGTAACTTACCTTTCCTTTGTTGTGAAAAATTCCAGTGTGCAATTTCATTTAAACAATTTTAGTATTCTTGGGCGAATATTTCTCTTCTACTTTTGGAAAATACCTAAATCAACCCTGATTTCAAATGCTTTCTTCTTCTAAAGACTTTATATTGGTTGTAACCCCGTTTTATACATGTAGTTGAAGGTTAAGGAAACTGTTCTTTTCCTGTTGTTGTTTTGTTTTTAAGTGTTTATTACAATTTTAGTCATTGATTCCAAATCGCAGTCAAGAAACCATTTTGTATCAGAAAACTGAACCAAGAAGATGACCTGTGCAGCGATGGCACAGTCTTTTGTCGAAACCTCTTGTGTAGTTGTAATATTTAAATATTATTTCCAGCCTCTGATAGTCCGAATGTGCTTCAAAGAAAAGAGTAATTGAATTTTCAAGTCACCTTTAGTTTATAGAAAATAGATTAATGATTTTTACCATCTTAGCTGGTGTGTGTGCATAAGTATTTGGAAATTATGGCAAGGCATCTACTTAACTTACATATAGATATTGCCACATGATTCATATCAAATATTTGCAAAACGTGGTGAGTTTCGAAGTCAAAATGTATCTGCAGTTTATTGTATGAAAATGTGTGCATGGATCGAGAAAAACATGCTAGATGTGATTCTTCTGTGATTTTTAAATAACAGCATAGTAATTTAATACAAGTATTTCACTTTGTATTCCAAGGCACTCTTTTGGTTTTTTACGTTTTCAAGTGGATTGCTCATGTTCCGAGGTTGCTATCATACAAGTGATCACCCAGGCATTTAGAAGAGCATAACGACACACAGATTTTATATTTCAGCAGGCAACCGCTTCAGTGCAAGGGCAGGTTTCTCAACACCCCTTCTTCCTCACCGAGCCCATCAGTGAAGTTCAGTGAAATGAATAACATAATTGGTGGTTGGTTCAATCACTACCAGTCTAGACTAGCCCAGACGCATCAATTAGAGGGGGCTGTCTTTTAAAGGGAGAGTGCAACCGAAACAAGCAGGGCATTATTGATACCGATCTTTAAAAGTGTAAATCCAGCTTGGCAGATAAAAAAAAAATAAGGCGGGGAATTGAGGTGGGGGTGCGTTGCGGGAAGAAAAGAGAAAGAAGTGAACTGAAGCTTTCGGACACAGAAGGACAGGAAGCTTGAGAGAAAAGGAGGGTATAATGAGTGAAAGGCGATGCAGCACCTCCTTGGAACACAGTTGCAATTCAGTTCACAGGGTACACTGCTTCACCGTATTTTTAACTAGATTTCCCCCACCTCCTTTTATTAATTCCTTTTTTTGCCTCTGTTTCCAAAGAAATGCCAGCTCAAAACCAGTGCAGTTGGAAATTTAACAGCTCTAAGAAGCTCTAGTGAGAATAAAGCCAAGTCGTACAAGCCAGCCAAAACTCCTTTTGCAACATTTTCCCCCAAAAGATGTTTGTTTTCAAGTCTCTAATACCACCTTTTAAAAAAATTAAGTGTACTAATGAACGGTACTCATTTTAAGTCTAGCACCTGGGAACTTATTTTATAGCCAAGACACCTTTAGCAAAGAGCTCATGGTTTTCCGTTGAATACAGTAAGATTATGAAGAATGTAACAAAAGGCTTTGGTAATTTGGTAGGGAATTTTTTGATGAGGAAAAAAAAAAAAGACAAATGATTTAGAAAGTGTTAGGAACACATCAAGCCCCAGGGAAAGAAAATGTTTGATTGGTATTAATTAAAACACTGCTAATATATTCTAATAAAATCAGATTTAACATTCTAAACTAATCCGCCTGCTATGTCAAAGGAAAAAAGTATTATCTTATTTGCATCTCTGCAATCCAAATGCATTTGCTCATTCAGCAGAATTAATTTTTATCACCAGCCTGTTTAATCTCCTCACAGATTTAGCAAACTTATTCTTTCAAATTAAAAAAGCTCAGGGTGGGCAACCCATGGAAGGTATTGGGAAGATAGTGACTGTATCTGGTTTTATATTTTACGATATTCTTTTCTCGTCATTGGCTATAATGGGGTGTGGAGGAACACCGTGAGACTGCAGCGAGAATGATGAATGGTTAATTTTTCCTCTTTCTCTTCTTTTACCTGCCAGGTTATTTATGAATTTCAGTTGCCAAATTATACAAGTGGCATTTATTTACATGACTGGTGTTGGTCTGTTGATTAATATCTAATTTTTTTTCTAATTTCAGAATCTATTTTATTGCAAATTCCTAATGCAAAAGGCTCTTAAGGCAGAATCCAATTGCCTTTTCTCAGTTATTTTCAAATGTAGTCCTCCAAAGAGAAAGTGGGGAAGAGAATGTAAAATTCTATCCACTAAGAACTGAGTTCTTTGTTCTCTTTTTATGTTGAAATTTCTGCAGAAAAATCTCATTTTTTATGAAGCAGTGAGTTTTATGCTCTTTATTGTTAAACTCTCACAACTGATAAAATTATCTCAAAATGACATCACAACCAAAATGTTTCATCCCTCATTAGTCTACCATGACTATGATATCATATGTAAACATGTACTTAACACAAAAAGTGAACGGGCCATGAATACTGGGGACCATATTTATGTGTTTCCAAAGTGAGGAATTGTGCATGATATCAAGGAGAGGTAAACTACTGACTAAGCTACTGATGATGCTGCCTTTTTGCTCCATTGCCTTTTCAAGTCTTCAACGTAAAAGAGCAATCGCAGTTCGGTTTCACATGTATTGTTCTATAATCCAGGCAATAAATGCTAATTAGTAATGCTCAAGGATCCGACCATTCAGAGTAATTATCATAATTTACTTCTTCCTTGTTAAAGACATTCCTTGCTGATTAAAAAAAAAAAAAATTAAATCGGCGTTTTACCCACTGCACCGCAGTGGAAATGCACTAGAGAGATGTTCCAGGTACAGTAATATCGTTGTGGCTGCATTCTAAGTCACCGACATGTGCCTCTTAGCTTATTCCAAATGGAATTGCAGCTTCATTTCTAAAAAGAAATTCATGTAAATGCATAAAGTTTTGCGCGTGCACCAGGAATGTATGATTTTATTTTACAAACCCCAAGGCTCCTCCTTCCCAGCCCACCCCTTTCTAAAACCACTTACTGAGCAGAACAAAGGAAACTGCTAACTATAGAGGCATCATTAAGTGTGAACAGCAACAGCATGATAAAGTATGTGATATGACAACATATTTCATTGCACAAAAGTGCAGATAATTACATAATTCAATAGTAACCCTGACTAATTAGCAGAAAGATCTTTAAGGAGGAATCAAGAAAATGGATCCAATCAACTTGAATAATATGCTTCATTCTCCAAGATCACAAATATATTTTGGTTATTTAATGATTGATTGATTCATATAGAAAGATGAGGACAAAAGCCTATTCCTCAAAGCAGAGCTTTGATCTGGGGTACTCTTTAGGACAAATTAATCATATGTTTTAGAAGAGCTGAATTTAATGTAGGGCTTTCTGTTTTCAGTCAAAGGTATAATCTGCCATTCTATTGCACAATTCTCTTCTATCAGTTGATCTAAAAAATCGTCAACCTTAGCTTTTCGTATCATTGCCTCAGAATGTATATGTAGATTCCCCCACATTTTCTAATGAGGCTCATGTTTAAGTTTGTTTCTTATTGCTGGAAGCAAATAAGTATCATGTGTACGGAAAGAACAAAATAAATAACTGTGCTGAATATTATATATGGTGGAGCCTTCCCCCCTTCCTTATCAAGGTAATATTCCCAGTGTTCATTGTTCATTGGTCCTTTAAGAGAGAGCTTCAGCTTTTACTTGAGAGTTGTAAGCGCATTAGAGGAATAATTCCCTTTGGATACTATACAGAAGGAGCCACCTGCAAAATGTTGATGCTGTTATTGAAGTCTCAAGTGGAATCAGCTTTCAAAAAATTAGATATTAGATACATCCGATATAAATTGCAATGTGTAATTATACTAATGTGCATATAGTTGTGTGTTGCTTTACATGTTGCCTACTTGAGTTCCACGCCCCACCCCCCTTGGGCATATCTCATCATTTGAAATGGCTCCTAAGTAGTATGTTTTTAAAATCAGCTTACTTTTTAAAAATTCCTTGCCAATTAATATGAGAATAAAAGGACTCTACAGTCTGTGTTCTTATGCAAGAATAAATGTTTGTGACCTAGATGTTGGAAAAAATTAGTAATTTCTAAAAGGGTTATCATTGTGGACACTTACATTATTTGTAAAATATTTGCTAATCTTTACTGATTTAGTCTTCATTCTGACCTTGGACAACTTGAAGTAATGGAGAATATTAGAATAGTAAATCTTATTCACAAGAAATTCATTTCCTTTGTTGGAATAATGGGATAAAATGCCAGGGAAATGGCCTTGGGCGGAGATAATAATTTTGACTTAATCAAAGTAATCAAAACAATAATAAACAACTGAAAAAAAATTTTCCCTCCATTGTGCATGGTGCATGATGAATACTGAAACTCTGCCTTAGGTCATTTATGCACAAACATCAACTTCCCTTTTGGTTTCTCGACACGATGCCAGAGATCTACTGATGGCCCCACTGAAGAGGCCCTCCAAGGAGCTGACTCCTGAAGATCTAGCTATTAAGGAAAACCCAGGCAGAGCAACAGCAACTTGGTTGATCAGCCTGGCACTTGGCACTTATGCGCTCAGTAGGTGAAGATGCTCTCAATGCAAATTTGGAGAATCATTACCATCAGATCACAGAGGGACCCTGAGCAAGGCGATACAAGGGTCCCAATTTATGCTTATGTGTTTGGGAGACAAAAAGAGTTCCAAGAGAGTCTCATGTTAAGATGATACAAGATATTACTCATTCCAATTAAGTAGGCATAGGACCCAAAGAAAGCTGATTTGTAAAACATTTGACTCATAATAGACAACTAGAATATTGTCATTCACATATTTATACTATTTATTCCTCAAAATTCATTTTAACAATGGAGTCCATTTTGTGTGGGCTATCTCTATGCAACTCCAAAGCAATACATTGGTGCACTTTTCACCTGCTCATGTATTTAAAGACTTTTCATTACGAGCTATCCAAAGGAGTCATAAAACTTGTGTGAAGCATCCTTTCTTAATGCAATAACATTTTAATTTATTCACAAATGAGTCTTGCACATGTGTATCTAAAGCTTAGCACCTCTGTTAATGTCCACACAATAATAAATTCTAAAATCTGTAAGATGTGTGTGTAAGTACTCATCCAGGATCAGTTATTGCCTGCTTAATTAGAACAGAAAAATACCTGTTAACAATATTTAACACTAAGTTCTTTTACAGGTTTTAAAAAAAATATGCATTATACCTGCCATCTAGAGAAGCAACATCCTCAGTTTATCCAAAGTGTTTAGGCCAGAAAGCAGTGATACGTCATAGATATTATCCCTTTTTCTATGCCTAACTCATTATGCAACTTCATTGTGTGAGCATAATGAAGAGGCTGACAATAAAGGCTTTAGTTCAGTTAAAATCCACCTGCAAAGTATATTTCATTCATACCACCTTTGTAAAATAAAAAAGAGAAACATTAATATGACTCTTCTCAAATATCCTTATCTGTAAAATGAGTGGGTTGGATTAGTTGGGCTCTATAGTCTTTACAGCTCTCAGAATTTTTGAAGCTATTCTAAAGTGTGGAAGCATAGCAACAACTCCAGGACCCCCAAATCCGGAGTCTGTCTGGAGTACCAGCAGTTGCTCTTCACAGTTATATTTGATTCCACCTCCAGGTTCTGTACGTACTAACATATTTTGCGTTGGTTCTAAAACAGTAAAAACTGGAGTTCATTTTCAGGAAGGGGCAGTGACAGAAAGGAGCAACAGCTGAAGAAGGAAAAAAACTACACAGTAGGAGAAGCACATTCTTGATCTGAGTTCTAAGCCCGTCTCCCTCAACGTTAACGTAGAAGAATCCCAGACAAGCACTCGCCTTTCTATTTGAAGACCACATTCTTTAGTCCTTCTGCCTTCGTTTCATTTCTTGCAGCGTGGTTTGCTTTTGCTGTTGGGTTGACGCCTTTGAGTTTCATGTTTCCCTTTACACTGGATTCACTTGAATCATGCTAATATTCCCCTCAGAAGCCCGCAACAGTTACACGAACACATCACACTTCCCACATTCAATTTTAACATGTTCAAAGCCACCTGGAAATTTCCCCACCCCATTTTCTAAAACCACTCAGAATGTGTAATCTCTTCTTGAATTAAGCAAGCCTGCCTTCTGGCTCCCACGTCTTTGAGTACGCTGGCACCCTGGTCGCCTCTGCATGCTCTGTCCCTCCGCCTGGTCTACGGTTTAGAGCCTTCTTGTTCTTTCTTTCCCTCTTTTTCTTTTTTCTTCCCTCCCTCTTTTTCTTCCTCTCTCTCTTCCTCTCTTTCTCTTTCTCCCCCCACCCCTTTTTCTCTCTGTTTCTTTCATTATTTTTTTTTAATTGAGTACCATTTGCCGTGTTCTGAGCCAGGTGCTGGCAACACAGAGACAAATACAAGACACTGACAATTAACACCTAACAGTTCTGGTGACTTCATTCACTCCTGCATTACTAAGCAGTTATGTACCCACAACTATTTTATTTTGCCTTTAGTCCTTCAATTCATTTGAATGTGTCCTCAATGTCCTGTGTTCTTTTGTTCTTTCCCTATGTGTCCTGAATCATTAAGTTCCCAATTGGATAAACCTGAATCTTTCCTTACATAGTATTTTCTCCCAGCACGAGAGAGTGGTGCTCTCTCATGCACTCAGGCAATGCCATTGCCTGGCTGCAAGTTGAGCAAGATGAAAATGAATAAAAAGCTACAGAGATGCAGCATTTCACCTATAGTTAGGAAAATGTGGTCTCTGAAGTTTCGTTACCTTTATTTATTTTTATTAAAGAGTCAATGCGATAACTTTCTGTGACATGTTCTGTTATTTTTTTAGTTGTGTTGATGTTCCTTTCAGCTGATCCTATAGCCCCCCTTCTCAGGAATGTCTCCGCAGTGAAAAGACAGACTGCAGAGATTGCTATATTCATGGAACCTCAAGCCAGCTATGAAGTTGCAACAAAGAAAGTGATCACCTGAAGACATCTCTCCTGCTAAGCAACACACTCAGAGGGTGCAGTTTCAGCCAGTAGAACTCTCAGAACAAGAGGCAATCTTTTCAAGAGACAGAAAAACTTAATAATGACATCTAGATTTCTAATGAGCCAAGAACTTTCCCTTCCTCGTGTGTATTCCTCTGTTTGTATTTAAATTCATGTGACATTTATTTTTTTCCTAGTACAGATATGCTTCTTAATGCACTAGTTTTAAAATCTAAAATTGCACAAATATGTTAACACTTTAAGAAACAAAATTAATGCTATAAGAAGAATGATTTTTAGCCACACAAAGAGTTTGATCTCAACAGTGACCTAAAGAATAAAAAGTACTTTTGAAATAACAAAGAAGTCAGAGGCAATTTACAGGATAAAGCAGTGGTAGAAACTCATACTGCAACATAGAAATACATTTTTTGACCTGACACTAACCAATCAACCATTGTTTTTATCAAGCAAGCTTTGTTCCGTGAGATATGGTCACTGTTTCTAAAGAGCTTAAATCTAGTATACAGAATTATGTGAACTTTTGAAAGATAAGTAATAGATCAGGTCAGTAGATGTTAAGAGCAAAAACAGAACAGAACAAAACACGATGTAAACAATGAGCTCAGAGAGGTTCTCTGTAAGGTAGGTAAAATCAGCTTATTTAAGGAAGAAATCTCACAAAAGAGAAAAATATGAGATGAATCTTGAAGGATGCTAAAAATTTAGATAAATGGGAAGAAGGAAAAAATAAGGTCCTTTAGGTGGATGTCATACAAAGCCATAGAGGAAGAAATCCACATGGTGAGTTTAGGCAATTATGAATACACACGTCTTTACCCCGGACGTTCAGTACCTCTCTGAATATATCTGGTAAAGACTTTGCACATACACCTCCCCTTTCTCACCCCAGCTGTCACCTAGAATTATAATCATATTTCTTTGCCATTAAAGCAAGTGATGATGATTGGTGATAATCTGGAGAATTTGTGATTTTTCTGTAAACCTAATAATAATCAGTATTTCCTGAGTTCTCACTATACATTGAGCATTTTGCATAATAACTCACTTAAGCCTCACAACAACTATGCAAGATGTATATTATTACTTCCATTTTACTGGCAAGAAAACTGAGGTTTAATGAGGCTAAGTGACTTGCCAAAGTGCCACATACAGTGTTCACATTCGGGATTGCAATTACGAAGCTCATGATCTAAAGCACTGTCATAATGTTGTGATCAGCGTCACAATGTCACCACGATTTTCTATATTCCTTGATATTTTTCTATGATGAACAAATAGCTATTTCATTTAATTATTACTTCAAACTTTTCAGTTTTCTGATTAAATTACACTGCAGTGATAGAATACATTTTTATTACAGATATTTTTAAAAGTGAGGAATAGAGCTTGTCAACATTTTAGGCATGCTTATTTCCAGACTTTGATAAGATTGTTCACTTTGGTTTGCATGAAATCTCAAATTCTTGAGAATAATAATAAAAAAATGGCAGGGAAGGAGAGAGAGCTTAAGGCACCTATTGCAATATCCTTTGTTACAGATGACATAAATCTATAGCCCATACATTTAGAGTGAATTAAAGAAGATCACACATTTGGGTGTGGCAGAGCAAGAACCAGAAAACAGGTTCACCAGTGACTCTCCACTCTGCTTAAATGAAATATGAACTTGAACTTGGTCAATGGCAGCATTCTATCTAGGTAACCAGGAAGCTTCATGCCTAGTGGACTGTTTCAGTTCTGTGCTTCCCATCTTGATGTGAAAAATCACTATCTCTGAACCAACATCTTTAGGTCCAGATATTGCCAATGGTCCATCCCCAAAGAACACATAATGGTTGAAGTTTTATGTGTACAATGTCTTCAGTGATATTCTTAAGTTATTTGGAATTCTTAGTTCACTTACACAAATCAGATCTTCTAATGAGCATCTTCTTAACCAACTTTATGCACTGTATATATTTGTAAGTGCTTCTGCATGAATGTCTATACATGCCTGTTTCAATAGTATGTATGTTTTTAAAAAATATTAAGTCATTTGCTATTATAATCCTCACTTATTCGTATAACTAACTTAAGAGTACCTTGGCCATAAAAGGCTAGAACTAAGGAAATCTCACTGCTTTTTCCAGCCCCTTTGCATTTGATTGGCATTTAATAATGGTTAATAAAGTGGTTAGCTGGATAACATAAAGGTTCAAAATGCAGTTCTGTCTTGAAGTAGTCAGTTAAGCGGGGTCCACCTATGCACCAACTTCTAAATGTGTGGAAGTCTCTGAATGTTTGACTGTTGTAAATTTCCACTTAGGTATCTGGCATTGTCAGATTTAGATCTCTTTACAGCTCTGGTTGTCCTGTTTTCAGAATGATTGTTGACTGTATCTCTTACATAGTTCTCATTAAGTGAGCTCATAAATAAACAGGGTTGTTTAAAGAGTAGCCAAGCACAAAGTGTGACTTTGTTGACATTTTATAAGACTCTGTCATATGTCCCAAACCCCCAATAAAAGCAATATTGCATCATCTGTGCACTTGTGTTGATTTTTTAGAACATCATGATCTCATAATTTGTTTGTTTTCTCTAGTATATATCAAAGCTAGTTTTAGGATCCACGAGGAGCAAATAATGTAATATGAAAGGAAAATTTAAATTTCAGGGACAATTTCTGAATGATTACATGTTACCTTTAAACAAATGGCACTATCACCTACTGAAGACAGAAACCAAGGTGTGGTCCTTGTCTCTTCCCTTTCCATCTGCCATGGCCAATCACTCAGGTAATCCTTTCGACTTTACTTTGTGTTTTTCAAATATTTCTACTTCCTTCCCTCTCTGTGCTATTTTAGTAAAGACAACCCTCATTTCTCACCTGGACAACTGCATCATATCTCCAGTTTTCCCCTTCACACTGCCAAGTAACAGCCAGCGGAATTTCTCTAAACCACAAATATGATCATATTATTCCATTATTTCAAACTCCTTACTGGTTTCCCATTGTGCTTGAAATGTCACAACACCTAACACCTTTTATATCCTGGATCCTGGCTCTAACCGTCTTCTCTGGATTCATCACGTTTCTCTGTCTCTTTGCTTTTCTGAGCTCTAGCCATCCATGCTTGCCTTTTCTTAATGTTCCTTTATCTTCTGGGATTTCTCACACACTTAGCCTTCTGCCTATTACTCTCTTTGCTCTTCCTTCTAATCTCATCTAGAAGTCATGTCCTCTAGGAAGTCTTCACCCCAGCCCTCTACCACCCAGGACTGGCTTTCCCATCTAGGTGCTTTCAAGGCATTCTGTGCTTGCCTCTTGTTAGGACTTATCACCCAATATTGTGATCATTTATGGATCCACCCCCTCTTTTTGAATACGAGATTCTAGAGCTGCACTGTTCAATAAGGTAGCCACTCATTGTATGTGGCTATTTCAGTTTAAATTAATTAATATTAAGTAAAGTTAAAAATGAAGTTCCTCAATTGCACTGGCCACATCTCAAGTGCTCAATAGTCACATGCAATAGTAACCACCCTACAAAACAGCACAGATAGAGAACACTTCCATCATCGAGAAAATGCTATTGGACAATGCAGTCCTAGAAGATAAGTACTTGTTTCACTTTTCATTTCATCCTCTTGCCTTGCAGTCTTTCTTAACTGGGGTTTATCATCTGAACCACAGAGCACACAAACATAATTTGAATGACTATTTTCTCAATTCTTCTGTGGACAATATATAACATATACTATATGAAAAGGAAGGAAGTTAGTTTATTACATGTAAAGATACCCAGAGATTAGGGTTCAATTCTAGCATAAAACCCTGGTTGACAAGGTCTACAATAGGCTATCATAGTGCTTGGCACAGTATATGTACTTCATAAACATCTGCTGAATGAATGACAGCTCTGGATACCTAGAGACATTTAGTTTTATTTATTTTCACCTAGATGTGTAGAGTCATGTAGGTGACATATCTTTAGATTCCAAAGGGCCCCTTCTCTAGAGGAAATGGTGATAGATGATTTTCTTACTTTCATCCCAAGGACAGGTGAATTGTATCACTGTGATAGGATTACTTATTTAATTTTTCCTCCATGTTTACACGGGCAAACAAATAAAGAAAATTGAGCTCTTCAGTGAATGAGATCAAAATGAAAATGATCAGAGTAAATACCAGATTTGATAAGCCCTATTTATTTTAGGGATTAGCCAAAGTTCACTAAAAATATTAATTTTTTATTGAGGACCTACTATGTGCCAGACACTTTGTTAGGACCTGAGATTATAGGAGGTGATGGGATAGACAAAATTCTTGCATTCATAGTGACAATATTAACATAATTATTTCAGTTCCTCCTGCATTGTACTCAAAGCGAGAATCCTCAACCTCAGCTGCACATTGTAACTACCTAGGGAGTTTTAAAAATACTGATACCTGGGTTCCTCCTCAAAAGATTCTGATTTAATTGGTGTAGAGTGTGGGCTGGTAATTGGAATATTTTTAAAGCACCCCTGGAGATTGGAATGTCAAGCCAAAGTTGAAAACTATTGACCTATGGGGACATAATCTTGGCATGAGCTCAGAAAACCAAGAGCTTTTGGTATTGAGAGTTGATAGCACATTAGAACCAAAATGAAGCTTTAAAAATCATCTGCCAACCACAGCTTTATTTTATGTTTTATTCCTCAGAATATAAACCAATACTTAAGTCACTGAGTTGTCCAGGTCAAACAGTCAGTTTATGATGAGATGATACCTGACCTCAGGTTTCTGATTTTAACCCAATACTTTTCTTGTCACACTAAACTGTCTCAGAGAAATGGAAGATATAATTGTCTTCAAATTAAGAGACAAACAACATCGACTGTGGTCATAATTTTTTTAAAGTAAGAACTGAATCTGGATCAATTTGACTCCCATATGCTCAAATATTTCTGCTAATCAAATGTGAGCACTATAGAGTCTTTTTGTTAACATGCAACTTCTTTTTTGAAAGATATGCACTGTACATACATGAAACTGTAAAGAGGGAGATCAGTTTCCTGGGAATCCTAGCAGCATTCTTACAAATTCAAAACTCAATATATACATGTTGAACTCTACAGATAACTAGGAAGGATATCTTACTTTTAAACTTGAGTTACTCAATAGCAGAAATGGTAGTGGGAAGAGAAAATAAAAGAGTGCTCTGTGCTCCCATGTTCTCTGTCCCTGCCCACCTTATTATATGACATTCCATTCAGTTTAACATTTTACAGTATAGGTAAAAATTGCCAGTCTCTCCCCATGAGAAAAGCTGACTTTGAAAAATACCTACTATAAAAAAATGGGTACATCTCTTAGCTACCACCATGCCCCACTTTTAGATTCTACTCATAGATCAAGAGAATCCAGGTACTATTAAGTCATCTAGTCCACTCTTCTTCATCCACGTGAGACCACATAGAGAAAACGTGCCTTCCACTTTTTCAAGGCATCAGAATAAAACTAAAGTTCACATACTTCCCTCAAAGTGCATTTCATCATTTGAGAGTCTACACAGTTGGGAAATTCTTTGGTATTTCTATTCCAAATCCCTCACGCTGTAGTTTAATCCCATTTTCTCTTGTTCCCTGTGGAGAGAAGGAACAGCTGGCTTCCATTCTCTCTAAACTCAATCTCTTCGTGTCCTTACAGACACCTACCTCTCAGCCTTCTCTTCTCTGAAATAAATAATAACAGTTCCCATCAGGAAAATGTCTCTCTTGAATTGTGCATATTCACTGCCATATCACATACATTCACGCTCATCACATAATGTTCAGAATTAAAACAAGCCAAAGCCAAGAGCAAAAAAAGCAAATGTATCATTGTTTTCATGAATGAAATTACAGATCCAGTAATAGACACAGAATAAATATCTGGGAATGATAATCTTCCAATAATGATGTGCCAAAATTATCATAATTTCTTTTAGAAAGTATAGACAATCTGTTGTTTTTGGAGAGATGAATTAAAAATGAAATGATTAGGTTTTAATTTCCTTTATGCAAGTTTTCCCCACGCCCTGCAATGGAATATTCCATTCAGCATTCCACAGCAGGAGCCACCAATGCTTTGATAAAAATAGATACAGTATTGGAACATTCAGTCAATGGAGTAATCCAATTGTCTGAACATTCTTTTCTGCTTTGTCATTTACATTTTAATAAATCCCAGAACATGTCAAGCTGTATTCAGTTCTACCAAGTGTAGCTAACCACACGCAGTTATATGATGCAGTGAGAGAATCATAGCATGCAACTCCTATAATGCATCAACATTTGGTTTGTGTATATTTTTAGGTTCATACATTTTAAATAAGGATACTCTGAAAAATGAAAAATTGATATTTTACAAAATCTTTGCCTTATCATGATGCTGTTACTATATTCAGCTTTCATAAGGGCAGCTGTGGGGAAGGGGTGTTCTATTTGATTGATCTAGGAATGCTGGCATCTGTTAACTCCAAGGACAATACTATATATAGCCAGCAAAAATGTGGAATGTTCAATTATCATCTTATGCCTTTTTCTTTGCCAGTTTACTGTCCCTCCATTCAGGAGGATCAGATAATCACATTTTAAAGTCAGTCATTTGACATTCCATAATGACAAGATTTCAGGCAAGCCAGTCTTACAAGATAGTGTGTGTGTGCATGCGTGAGTAATTATTATTAACCTGTAGGCATAATTTAATCCATGCATATATTGGCCACCAACTGTTTCAGCTCTTTGAGAGATTTGTTATCCTGGCTTGAAAGAGCCCACTGAATTTTTACAATGTGGTAGAGCTGTAATGAAGATGGAGTGAGCCTTAGCATGTTAAGGATCCCTAAAGGGCAGGTATATGCTTAGAGAGGAGGGTTGTCCAAGGATAAGACTATTCAGATTAGTCTCTACTAGTAAAAACCACAGGGAACACGAGGCTTAAACTTAGCTCTGGTTATGTCCTTTGTATGTGATTAGCTAAGTTGCTTAAGTAAGCCCATCAGAAAATTCCCACTTTAGGCTCTTCCTTTCTACTTTTTGAAGTTATCCCTTGGGATAGTAACCACCTAAAGACCAGGGTTACTTCCTGTCATCAGGTAAATCTGATTAGTGTTAAACTTGTGATAAATTCAAGAACTAAAATGAATCATAAAAAATTAGTTTCTTTTTTTCTGGTACTTAGAGAAGTTTAAATGCTTGCCACAAGGATTGTGAGCAGGAGACATATTACTATACAGGTACTGTGTTAGGAGAGTGATCTCATAGCTTACCAGTAGCGGATGGAGAAAACCAAAACTACAGTGGCATTGTAGTGCACGAGCAAGGTCATCGGCATTTCTTGATTCCTTGGGTTTTCTCTCACTCTGCTCGTAGTGTGATAACTGGTAGATTTGGTGGAAAAATAGGACCCAGCCAATAGCAGAAGGTTTGCAGTATCTTGAAGACCTCTAGGGAAGGACCTCTACAACTTCCCCGTCCACTTAGAGTACCATCAACACTTCACTCATAGAGCACTACGGTG